TTGAAATTACAGATTTACCCTTAACTGAAATTCTAGATAATTTCAAAACTGACCCCACTTGTTTCGGTACTGGTCCTACCGATTTTGTTACTATCCCCACTATTTTGTTCATACCGAGTACTTTTACACAGGTACCTCCTATTTTTACACCGTCCGATCTAGCTCCATGGATGGTCCATATTTTTTTCAACCATTATAAAATTTCTCTACATACCCTGTGTAATACAACCCGGTACATTATTGCAATGGCATCTTCGGTTTATATCAGAAGAAGTATGTGTTCTTTGTTCTTTCTCCTGGGTTGGTAATGCAAAGGCAAATTGTACCTTCTATTAATAATGTTTGTGTCAAAATTGGTAGGAGTGATGCAGACACATTTTTTCTGGAGAAGATGGATATGATTTTCCGGCCAGATGGTGCAGTCATAATACTGGGATCTTCCTTGTTGTCCTATTCACCTTATTATCATTTTAATCATATGCACGTGTCTACCTTGGCAGCCGTAGTAATTTTCCTAGCTATTTGATATCCTGTATTCCTTGATTCCTATAGGTTATTGCATTGGGTAGTATGATGCTAGTGCTCAACTAACGCCATGATCTTGTAACTTGACTAATGGTATATGCAATAAACACTAAAAGATGCTTTTTAGCAACATGGAACAAGAGGGCTACAGCATTGGGCTGTTTTATAGTGCTCTAGATTCCTCTCCCTACAGAGAATTTCCAGAATACTACCATTGGATCAAAGGGAAAAAAGTGTGGCAAATAAGGAAACAAACGTCAGGACAGATAGGGCAGATTGTCTATGCAAACCCTGGTGAAGGAGAGAGATACTTCCTAAGAGTTCTACTGAATCATGTGAGAGGTGCAACATCATATGAGGATTTGAGAATAGTGTCTAGTGTCACATACTCTAATTTTAGGGAAGCATGCGACAAAAGAGGGCTTACCAAGACGGACAAATCAATCGATGACTGCTTGACTGAGGCCACCACTTTCCAGATGTCGTGTGCCTTGCGAAGGTTGTTTGCTACCATTCTTGTCTTCTGCGAGGCCACTAACATACGTGGACTATGGGACACGCATAAGGACGCTCTAGGTGAAGACTTTAGATGTCACAATAGCAACATGTCAGCAGTGGAGCAAATGGTACTGAGACATATGGAATATGGTTCACTCAATGAGGAAGGATATAAGAGATTATGGTCTGCCACCTGTTTGCGACGTGGGTCAAAGCTCCAGTGATATGATGAAAGAGGTTAGAGAGGAACAAAATGTCACCATAGACCAAGAACACTTACATATTTATGAATCTCTTAACAAGGAGCAGCGTGAAGGGTTTGATGAAATCATTCAGCATGTATTTGCTAATAAGAGCCAAGTTTTTTTCGTAGACCTGGAGGCACGGGCAAGACGTTCCTATACAAGGACCTCCTTGCTAGAGTTTGGTCCGAAGGATTAATAGCCATCGCAACAGCCACATCTGGTATAGCGGCATCGATATTGCCCAGAGGATGCACTGCACACTCAAGGTTTAAAATTCCAATTAAAATTGGGGACAACAACATGTGCAGCTTTATGAAGCAAAGTGGCAATGCATAGTTGCTTCGTAGGGCATCTTTGATTATTTGGGATGAAGTTGCCATGACCAAGCGTCAGTGCGTTGAAACACTTGATAGGTCCCTACAGGATATTATGGAATGTGCTATGCCATGTCGAGGAAAGGTCATGGTATTTGGTGGAGACTTCAGACAGGTCCTTCCTGTGGTGACACGTGGGACACGAGCACAGGTAACCTGATGCTACATTGCAAAGATCCTATTTGTGGGAGAATTTCAGGAAGATAAGATTGTCACGTAACATGAGGGCACAATCTGACCCTTGGTTTTCAGAGTACCTATTACGAATTGGAAATGAAACCTAAGAAACAATTGGAGATGATTATGTTGACATTGTGATTGGTTATACTGACACGGAGGTGGCAGTCAACAAACTCATTCAAGATGTTTTCCCATCACTTGAAGAACATGCAACATCAACCGCCTATATGAGCTCCCGTGCCATTCTATCGACCAAAAATGAACATGTTGATAGGCTGAACGCAATGATGATTGATAGGTTTTCAGGTGAGGAAAAGGTTTACCACAGCTTCGGCACAGTTCTGGACGATCCTCAGAATCACTTCTCTATTGATTTTTTGAACTCGATAACTCCAAATGGTCTCCCCCACACGAGCTGAAGCTAAAAATCAACTGTTCTGTGATTCTTCTCCGCAATCTTGATCCTAACAACTGATTGTGCAACGAAACAAGGCTTATATTCAGAGCATTGCAAAACAATGCAATTGACGCTGAGATCGTTGGTGTACAAGATGCGCGAAAAAGGGTTTTCATACCAAGGCCCCCGCTGTCTCCCTCAGATGATATTTCCCTTACTTTCAAGTTCAAGAGAAAACAATTCCGAGTACGGTTAAGTTTTGCCATGACCATAAATAAATCGTAGGGACAAACCATCCCTAACGTTGGGACCTATCTTCCAAAATCTGTGTTCTCGCATGGACAACTTTATGTTGGTTTATCAAGGGGGTATCAATATCAACAACAAGAATTTTGGCTAAACCAAAAGAAGAATAGGATCCTACAGGGAAGAGCACCAAGAATATTGTTTATAAAGACGCCTTGAACTGGTGATTAACAGTGGGTATACTCAAACCATTTTTATCACTCCTCATGTAAATATATATTGCTGGACAGGTGCTTAATATTTTTATTTTTTGGGCATGTTGGTAAATAATTTTATTTTTGGGCTTTATATTTTATATTAATTTGTTTGCATTAATTAATACATAAGTACGTCGTTGCACTTTTGCAGGTGCTACAATGGTTGGGAAAGTACTTCGGTACTTCCAGGTACTTTCGCTTTTCCTATTTTGCAAGCAATTGTTTGACGAAGATTATGTATTAAATGTAATTTTTAATATAGGGGGTATATCCGTCATCTCACGAGGGCTCTTTCTTTTCTGTTTGACTGTTTCTCTCGCCTCAGCGCGCGCCATGCAGCTGCTGCTTTTCGCTCAGAGCCAGCCTTCTTCAGGAGGCCGATTCACAGGCAATGTCATTTTCTTCCGATTCACGAGCGGCTCTAAGAAGCTGAGCTTTTGGACAAACTGCGCATACTATCACGGTGACGGTGCTGCGCTTGCGTTCTGCTGGAGCTCTAGGAAGCAGAGCTTTTGTTCTGTCGGAGTGTTGCGCATGCGTGGAGCTTTTTGTGCTTGGCGGAGCGCGCGTTCCCGTGGTCACCGACGTGTGCGTGTCCGCATGCTGGCGGCCGGGCGGCATGGCCCACGAGCTGCGGCAGGTCTTCCGACGTGGGCGTCACCTTGGCGTCCTTCTGCTTGAGGAAGAGGCGTGGTTTAGCTTGTAAGTACATGTCGACCCTGCCGGGATGAAGCATGGCACAGGCGGCCGGGTTACTTCCGCTGCGGGCGGCACTACTGTTGACAGGCGCTTGGCTATGGTGATGGAACTGGCGGCCTCTGGTGCGACGGCGGCGACGGTCTGGTTGCTCTTCCCATCGACGGTGAGACTGAGATGGGATGGGATGAGAGTGTTGTGCCATCGATGAAGGGGTTGAAATTACAGATTGAAATTACAGATTTACCCTTAACCGAAAAAAACAAATCTAGATAATTTCGAAACTGACCCCTTTTTCGGTACTGGTCCTACCTATTTTGGTACTATCCCCACTATTTTGTTAGTACCAAGTACTTTTACACAGGTACCTTCTATTTTTACACGGTTCGATCTAGCTCGTGGATGGTCCATATTTTTTCCAACCATTGTAAAATTTCTCATTTACCCTGTGTAATACAACCCGGTACGTTATTGCAGTGGCATCTTCGGTTTATATCAGAAGAAGTTTGTGTTCTCTGTTCTTTCTCCTGGGTTAGTATAAAGATTTCGATGTATCTATAGATCTATTCTTTTATGTAATCAATTTGCTGAAATTTTTATCTATATCTATATCTACTCTCATCGTCTCCAATTATTTATGTGTTCTAGATCTACCTATACCTGACATATTATTAATTAAAGAGCCAAAATTTTAGCCCCTTTTTTGGTTCACTTCCCCTAACTACCGATAGTGTAGTTTCTTTCGTCCAGACTTATATAACATGTGCTCATGCGAATTAGATGAGCTCACATCTATCGCGATACGGAGTCCGATTCCAAGATGTACTGGGTTGTGTATATGATCCGGACTCATAAGCTGTGCTTATACAAGTTAGAACAACTCACGTTTAAAGATGATTAAGTTGAGTCACTACTAGAAACTCGGGTTTTTCTGTGTGCGCGAAAACACACATGAAAATACGAATCTTGTCAGAAAAATATTTTTCTGACGGTGTACCCTTAGAAAAATACCCACAGAAATACGATGACAGAAAAATTCAATTGTTCTGTGTGTTTGCCGTCAGAAACAATTTTTCTGTGGGTGTTACACGCACAGAAAAAATGCGTTAGCCTAGATTAATTTTAAATATTGTGTGCGTTAATCCTCATAGAAAAAAGGAAAAGCCCGACAGAAAAATGATTTTTCTGTGGGTGTTACACGCATAGAAAAATTGTGTTAGGTAGATTAAATTTAAATGTTGTGTCGGTCTCGGTTAATGCATAGAAAAATAAAAGAACCACCGACAGAAAAAACCCTTAACCATGCAGCAAATATGGACTGTCCATACTGTAATTTCATCACAGCATAATAGATAGCATACATATAAAGATCCAAATGTTCAGGACATTCATTAATGGCATCCGGGCTACATATAGATGATGTCTAAATGGTCCGGCATCAATACATTCAAAAGCATTACCATCTCATCTCAACAGTTTAGGTCTCAGTCAAGATGAGTAAAGTACAAGCATGCATCATTGAGTCATATTATAGCTAAAACTAAAACTAAAACTAAAGCTAAAACTAAAGCTAACACAACCATCACATTATCGATGCATGATCGCCATTGTTGTCGGAACCTTGATTGTTGTCAAGGTTTGCAGCATGAAGATCCCCATTGGTGTGGCTGCAACATTGAACCAGTATAAGCAATCAATAGTCAGGATAAGTTAAATGGCCTGCTTGTGATAATACTTACAGCATGAGCACCCATTGGTGGAAATCCAGCTGACTTAGGGATGGATCCAACAAGCGGACCATTGGATCTGTAGCGCTGGACAACCAGGAGCAATAAAATTCCAACAAGTCAAATGAACAAAGGAAGCATCGACTACATTTAACTGTCACGTTATCCATCCATAAATACTAAGGGAAGTCAAAGAAACACATCATTTGGCATCAGAATAACCAAAAAGAAGATAAAGAAGAAAAATAGTAAACCTACACAAGTAGCAGTTACATGATTGAACTATTTGATTTATATCAGTTGTGCACATAAAAATTAAATTCTACCATACAATCTAATTGAATTGATACCAAAAAGCACCATAGAATTTCTGTTCACAAATTGCATTCCTGATATTTTAAGGAAGTCAATATGTGTTATTAAACATATCAAAATTAAACCATAAAATCACATCTGCTCATTTTGCCTATTGATCATCAATACACAATCACATCTGGATGCACCGGCCCAATGCACTATACATTTTGCTTTTGAAAGGAAAGTTACTGTACCTGAAATTCTCCAAGGTCAGCAGCTGTGTTATCTCCTTGAACAGCTCCTCATTGAAGGAGGCGAACACCTTCAGATCCTTCACGAGAATCTCCACAGCCTTGGCCCTATTATGCCTGTGACACCAACAGCAAATTCAGCAAAAAAAAACAACCTTGACAACAACAAGGGACCAAGAGTAGCGTAGTGATGAGTCGGTCACCTATCAAGGGCTTCGAGGTACTTCTGCTTGCGGATCTCAAAGAAGATCTTCATGGAGTAGCGGTTGTCCTCCAGCTTGGTGAAGCCGCTGAGGTACCTCTCCAACTCATCCCACTCGCCGCCCTGCACGAGGTCCTCGAAGTGCTTCAAGTTGAAGTAGAAGCCCGACTCCTGCTCTAGCCTGCATAGGCAACCACAAAAAGCATCAGAAATCCTAGCTCACCCAGCAAAGCAAGGCTCCAAAAACCCCATTCATGATCATGATCCCAGCCGGAGCCTCCAGCTCTCAAAAACCCGCCTAAACCTCGGGCCGCCACCCATGCAGTCATTGAAGGTTGCTACACATGTATAGGTGGCGACATTCAAGAAAGAGGAGCCAAACCTGATCCAATCTGAACTAAGATAATAGAAAAGAAACTATTGGTCATTCCAGATCCATTAGAGAGCAGTATGTCAAAAGCACAAGAACTACATATATTTCACCTGGAGCAAAAGAACAAGAGCAAAAGGACTCGAGAAATGGCTCAGATTTACCCATTATCAGCATGACAACTGCAACTTAATTTCACCTGGAACTTAATTTAATTCTCTCTCTCTAATGGGAATTGGCTGGCCACATAAGCTGGTTGCTTGTCTTTGGTACAAGCCATCCTAGTTAAGTAGCAAACAGAACAAAATATCCCAAGTACCAGCTCATAAGGTGCTAAAGTGCAGAAGTTCTCTAATGGAAACTTGATTCATCACAGCCACTCAAGAGTAGTACAAAACAGTCACAAGGCATAGTTAGGGAATGGGAGAGCAGCACGGCACGAGACTGGGATTTCATGCTAGCTGTTTTATCTCAAAAGTTATCAACATGTTGCTAAAAACATTTAAGCTCTTGTTTAGCCAAAGCCCCTGCAGATTACAAGATGTCCTTCCGACAAAATGCTTTACACTACTAGCCTACTAGTAAGAAAAGATCAAGGAAAAAAGAAACAAAAATATTGCTAACATAACATACATTCAAATCAATAGGAGGCTGCTGATGTGATTTCCCAGATTCAAATCAAGGAAAAAAGAAAGAAAATATTGCTAACATAACAAGGCATCCATGCATGCAAAAGTTTTAAAAGTAGCATAACCAAGATAGCATTCTAAATGTATATAGCACTTTTATTCTAGAGGTAGCATAATTCAGTTGCCAATTACGCTCCAAGGATTAGTATAATAGGAAATTATTTTGGATGTGCAAATGCAAATTAAACCACAAAGATTTTTATATAAACCTAAAGCTGTTTCTATGTGTAAGTAGCTAGCCTTCCAGATTTTTCAATACAACCTTGAGAGACATATCATCAAGCAATTTACATCGCACTACATCTTACAGTCTCCATGCAGTGCGGATATTTGTGTCAATATAGATATAGCAATGTTGAGAATACAGCGTGTTGCGCGTGAATCCAATCTATGGGTACAGAAGTGCCAGTTATTAGTAAGAATACAGAACAGCTGTAACTAAGTTGACAAAAAGTGAGATTGTGTCTACAATGGATGCAAAGTAAAACAGATAGGATCAACCATGGCTACTAATTTCCTTTGTCTAGAGTCATATATGAAGTAGAAGCAAATGGATAGAACACTACATGCATTCGAATTCCAGAATAGCACAAATTTGTTACTCAATAGCAGCTATCTCGCCAACCAGATCGAGGAGGAACCACACACGCTGCATTACAGCTGAACCGAGAAACCAAGGCAGCTGAACTCCGGCCGGGGAAGAAGAAGGGGGAGGGGAGGGCCGCCACCACCACCACAAGAGCCACCGGCCGGATCCGAGAGAGAGAGGGCGGATCGGTCGGGTGAAGAAGGGGAGGGGAGGGCACCTGCTGGGAAGAAGAAGGGGAGGGAGGGCGCCCATGGGGAGAAGAAGGGGGGAGGGCCGCCGCCACCACCACTACTGCTGCACCATTGGCTGGATCCGGGAGAGGAGGGCGGATCTGGCCGGGTGAAGAAGGGGAGGGAGGGGCACCAGCTGGGAAGAAGAAGGGGAGGGAGGGCGCCGGTGGGGAGAAGAAGGGGAGGGCATGGATCTGCTCGCTCGGTCGTCCGACAAGTGACAACAGATCCGGATCGCTGCTTTCGGGTGAAGGGGTGAAGAGGAGATGGATCCGGTGTCGGGGTGAAGGTGAGGGGCGCCTGCCGCTTGTCGATGAAGAGGGAGAGGGAGGAGGGGAGGCGGTGGCTTTGCTCGGGGGGGGAGGAGCCCCTTGGCGAGTCGCCGAGGGAGGGGCGCGATGCTGAAAGGAGAGAGTGAGGGAGGGGGCACGGTCTACTGCGTGCGGGGTGTTTGGGGGCGTGGCGGCTGGTGGGTTAGGGTTTGGATTTTCCTGTGCGTGCACATTTTTTTCCGTGCGTTTTTAAAGAACCGACAGAATAAATTGTATTTTTCTGTGAGTTCTGATTTTTTCCATGTGTGTATTGTCACGCACAGAAAAATCATACAAATTTTCTGTGGGTTTTTGTATTTTTCTGTCGGGCTATTTTGGAACCAACAGAAAAATCATAATTTTTCTGTGCGTGTCGAGAAAAACGCACAGAAAAATTCATCACCCACAGAAAAAAGCGAGATTCCAGTAGTGAGTGTGAGGCAAAGGCGGCAGCTTCACTTGGTCTGGGTAATTGGAGGGTCGCCAGAGCCCAGATCCGGCCACAGCCAGGGGCTAGCTGGCGCAGCTGGGGGCAGCCCTGGGAAAGCTAGCGCCAGCTAGGTGCGATTGCAACCCCCACCCCAACCTAAATGGCACGGCCATATCTAGCGAGTCAGTAGCTGGCGGCAGGTCGACGGTGGTCATGTTTGACCTGAATCGATATAAGCGACTGCAACAAAGAAAATACATACGTGACGAAAAAAATCGGAGAGAGAAGGAAACAACTTGCTATTGAACGTGGAAAGTTAGTTGGAGAAGAATTTCAGCAATTTCTTATCTGTTACTCGATGAGTGTCAAAACTGTCTCTGCTCGTGCCACTGACAATACACTAAATTGTTCTCCCGCAACACAGGGGCATATTTGCTAGTAAACACTAATGTCTAATGCATCCAATTATTACTACTTCTGTAATAATTAATAACTGATAAACATATATACTACTTTTCGGAGTGATGAATTCAGAAATAAATTAAATAATTCGTGTGTTTAATTTAACTGTGTGTGTAGAGGTGGGCGTTCTATAAGTTGGCCGAGAGCTACTACTCCATCCCAATGAAGAAGCACGGCATGGTGCCTGACCACAGCCTGTTCCAGGCGCTGGCTGCAGCCATCATCTGCGTCACGCCCAAGGACCACTACAAGAGGCTGGAAGAAGGCAGCATCATGCTCAAGAAGTACAAGACATTCAGCTTATGCAAGGAAGGCGTGCTCGTGGACGGCGAGCCGTCGCCGGTCAAGAGCGACGTGGTGATCTTCGGCACCGGGTTCAAGGGCGACGAGAAGATCAAGGACATGTTCACTTCAGAGTACTTCCGCAATGTCGCGATTGGGTCAGAATCCACTACTGTGCCTCTCTACAGGTATATTTGTATATATATGTTTCTCACCATTTGTCCTAATTTGAACTCTCGATCTTGGTCATCATTTATGAATCGTGCTAAATTTTCAAACATGCATGTTTCACAAACAGAGAGTGCATAAATCCTAAGATACCTCAGCTCGCCGTGATCGGATATTCTGACACCCATTCGAACATCTACGCCTCCGACATTCGCGCCAAGTGGTTGGCACGCTTCTTGGACGGCAGCTTCAGACTACCGAACGTCGCGGCAATGCAGAAGGATGTGCTCGAATGGGAGAAGTACATGAAGAGATACTGTGGAAGATACTTCCGCCGGTCCAGCATCATGATCCTGAACACTTGGTACAACGACCAGCTCTGCCGTGACATGGGGTGCAATCCTTGGAGGAAGAAAGGGTTCTTTTCGGAACTGTTTGAGGTCTATGGCCCTGGTGATTATGCTAACCTACTCTCCAACTCCAAGTCCAAGGAACACTAGAACTTGTGTCTAGATTCCTTTGGCACATCTGAATAACTTTATGCTCTCAGATATTCTTGTTACAGCGAATAGTGTTGTGAAATGTGTGATGACCATCTTTGCACTTATCTAAAAGATGTAAAGCGTTCATGGTATATAGAAAATTTGGATGTATGTTACTCCTCGGTCCACAAAAGAATGCAAGTTTGTTATATCTCCAAGTGAAACTAGTTTAACCTTGACCGAGTTTATACTTTTTTGAGCAGAGACCGAGTTTATACTTGATAGGATTGCAACCGGCAGTGTTGAGTCGAGCAACACTACCGATTCAGTACTTGAGCTGGCAGTGCTATGTCAATCATCACTGCCAGTGTTTGGTGAACCAATAATGATCTCTTTTTTGCATTTTGTTATTTTATAATTTATTTTATAATTTTGTGTGGTACTCTATATTTGCTATGTATACTAGATTCACATAGATCACAAACCCATCAAGATTTATATTACAAATTTTACGGTTACATTGAAAAAGAATTTATCAAAGACGAAGACATTATCACAAATTTATCTAGATCCCTATTACAATAGTCTCTCGAGGTCCTCTTTACCATATGATACCTTGAACTTCTTGGGCCGTGCAATGAAGAATAGCCCCTTTTTACTCAATATCTCATCCAAGGTGAAGCCTGCTAACGCATCTTGGAATTCTCTGATCTCGGGGTCTAACAGCCGGCGATGGCCAAGTTTAGATTATTAATATTTATATCTCAAACTAAGTTTAGATTCCTTTGGCATGTATACGGATCACTTCATGCATGCTCTCAGATATTCTTGCTACGTACATATTCTTTCCTGCTGTTAGTGAGACTACAGATTTGTACATGGTCAGCGAATATAATGTGTCTACCGTCACATCGCACATTTGTGACGATGACCATCTTTACACTTATCTTTTTTTTGAAACGGAAATGCAATTCCATTACTTGTGTCTGCACGCTCGGCAGCAACAATGTTCAAGATACAATCTGGAGGATGAGCCATGATACGGTCATCGTCCACCGAACACACACACCCAAGAGCAGCTAGATCATGTGCCACTCTATTACAAGAACGAGGGACAGCCCTTATTTTAAACTCCACACAGTTCAGACTCACAAGCTCTTTGATCTCCCTAATCAACCCTCCGGCCATGGAGAGGTCCCATCTCTGAGACTCCACTGCTTACTGAACTTGCACGGCATCAGTTTCTAGATGAACTCTGGATATGCCCAAGTCAATTGCCGCTTGTAGCGCTTGTAGACATGCCACTACTTCAGCTTGGAAGGGGTCCAAAATGTGGGAAAGTCGACCCGACCAGCCGAGACCATATCACCGTCTTCATCCCGGATTATGAACCCCCATCCGCCGTCCCCTGTCTCACTACGGGAAACAGTAGATTTGCCGAGTGTCAAGGGCACTCGGCAAAAGCCCAAAAACACTCGGCAAAAACTTTGCCGAGTGTTACACTCGGCATATAGCACACGGCATTGATTTGTCGGCAAACAGTAGTTTGCCGAGTGTTTTTCATCGGGCACTCGGCAAATAGTTTGCCGACTGTCAGTAAACACTCGGCAAAAATAAACTCTCGGCAAAAAAATTTGACGGGATGGAACGGCGACGTCAATTTTGCCGAGTGCACCACGGAAAACACTCGGCAAAGTTTTTTAAGTTTACCGAGTGTCAGAACGAAAACACTCGGCAAAGTTTTGCCAAGTTTGCCGAGTGTCAGAGCTAAAACACTCGGCAAAGTTTCCCAAGTTTGCCGAGTGTTAGAAATAAAACACTCGGCAAAGTTTCCCAAGTTTGCCGAGTGTTAGAACTAAAACACTCGGCAAAGTTTCCAGGTTTGCCGAGTGTCAGAGCTAAAACACTCGGCAAATAAGCTTCCAACGGTCAATTTTATGGTCACTTTGCCGAGTGTCCACTGGAATACACTCGGCAAAGAAGGTTCCCAGAATGGCAAAAAATGGTCTCTTCGCCGAGTGTCCACTGGAATACGCTCGTCAAAGCGACCAAGGCCCTCCCTTTTTTAATAATCTGTCACATATCTCTCAATTCACAAAAAACCATGACAATTCACAATAAAACATCATCACAGGCATAATTATTTGTCACAGGTGTAATAAACCATCATCATAATTCACAATAAACCATCATCACATGTCACAATAAACCATCATCTCAATTTACAATAAGCCATCATCACAAGTCACAACTAAGTCACAATAAGACACAATGCAAATGCAATCACTGCGTAGGCCCTTGGAACCTCTGCGACAAATCCGGGTCTTGAAACTGATTATTTGATGCCGCCGATTGATTCTGTACAAAAGAGAAGTATTCGAAACAGTGTTAGCTTCCTTTTTAACAGTGTTAGACTTCATATTGCAAAGTGAATTTCAGTATTGAAAGGTGTGCATCTACAGCATACTGTAATTGTAATCACAACATTCAACACTAATGCAATACTTAAATTCGTGCTATGCACACAACAGGCTACTTGCATGTTAAAAATAAGGGAATTAGCAAGCATCCACATATCTATGTGCTGCTGGTTATCAACATTCAGATTCCAATGGTTATCAACATTCCATTTCGACCACAAAGCAATGGTTATCAACATTCAGATTCCAATGGCAGCACTTCAGGTGTTTTACATCACTAAGTTTCCCTATCAGCTGAATTCATTTTTTGTCCATTTACTGTTTAGCTTTTGGTAATTTGCTCCTGTTGTAAGTTATGGCTTAATATTGATGAGTGTGTTCTTAGGAGCTCCAGTTCAAAATATTCAACAAGGAAATCAACTTCCATTCATTAATTCTTCTAATCCGGACATGTCACTGGTGAGTAGCTCCGCCCTTCTTTTTTTCTTGTTTGGAGAACCAGTGCACCATTTTTTTTTATGTTCCTGTGTCCTCTAGGTTGAGTTTGATTATGAAATCATTATTCTAGCCACCATCCTTTCCCTAAACTAGTTCCCCAGGATTAGTTCACTCTAGACATGAATGTGTCAGCAGCAGCAATGAAGTCTAAGCTCTTTGCCGATCAAGAGGAACGTGAAGTTCAAAGACTAGCTGCTACTGTAATAAATCATCAGGTTAGTATGTGTTTCGCCATCTGATTTGCATGCACAGAGGATTTCAGCTGAACGAATCAGGATGAGGCCCTATTAGGTCCCACCGGAAGCGGTCTACCAGGGGGCAGTAGCACCCTGCCATCAAATCCAGCAGGCATGAGCCCCAGACCAGTGCAGGGGAGATGCAAAATACTTGCTCCAGTCAAAATAAATTTATATTTTGAACATGATCTTATTTCCTATGTATCCCTGAGTACTTTTTTCATTGAAAGCAGTAAAGGAGCTTGCTGACAATTTGGACAGCTTATTCAACACATTCCTAAAAGTATGTCAAATATTTTATGGGAGATATCAAGGTGTCAAGTGACTCACAGGAGTAGTTGTGGGTGGCTGAGGTGAAGGGAATAGCATCGGTGGCGGTGGCAAAGGTTGACCCATACTCGATGCAAAATTCTGCATGTATTGGAACATTTGGTCCATCCTCAACCGACTTTCTTCGTCCATCCTCTGCCGCTCGGCCTCTAACCGCTCCACCCTCGCCTCCATCTCCTCCCGTTGCTTCTTTTCTGCTTCCACCTGGGCCTAAAATATTTCATCGCAATGTTACAATGTAAAGCAATGCAAAGCTAAAGTACGTAAGAACCAACGAATGATGAATGGAAGAGAAAGAACCTGGAGAGCCTCTATCTGGAACTGTGCAGTGGTCGGCCGTGGGCGTATCGCTGGGCTCGAGTCCGTGCTCCTTGCTCTGATCTGGGAGAGAGTGGGAGTAGAGGCCGTGTCGATTACGCTGTCGCCAATCCAATACCGACCATGCTTCTTGCCTCCTCCCACCCTCATCACGATTTCTCCATCAATATCCTGAGAGCTCGGATCGAACTGTGGCCCGTGAACCTCCCTTGCCATCGTTGTATACTGGGTGACGCGGCTGTGGATGCTTGGATGGCTGTACGCCTCAGGCGGGTCCTCCGGGTTGAAGTCGATGTCGGCCGTCGCCTTGCCCTTTTTGGACAGAACCCATGCCTTGAGCTGGGAGCAAGACTGGCCATCATGTGACGACGACTATGGCAAAAATGCAAAATGATTAGAAATTATGCAGAATTGAGCGTTAGAATACAGAAATGAAGTTGCATACCCATTTTTCCCTATATTCATCAAGGCTCAGGCTGCCTTGATGGTGTGATGCACCTGGCATCTGCAAACGCCGCTCCCGGCAAGCAAGGTGGTGCTCCAACCACCCGGGCTGCAACCACTCATCCACCATCTTTTCCCAGCACCGGATATGCGCTCGGCACCACCACGGAGGCACCTACATCATCAAGCATGTGACTTATGAAAAAAGAAATTAAGCGTAATTAATCTCAAATAAAGTAAGTATCAACGTTCTTTGCTTACACTCATGAATTGGTCCTTGGTCAGGTTCATTGTCCTTGCCTCTTCTTTTTTAACCTTCATGGTTCTGTATTGAGCGTAGAACTCGATGATGGCCTGGACGCGCGCCTCGTAGTGCATGTCCTTCACGAGCTTCTTGGCGGCTTGTTCAGAGACGGACTTCGCCTTGGCCTCGAATCCCTCCTGGCATCTGTAGAAGTCCTGCTTATAGAGGCGATGTATAAAGTTATTATTTCAAGAATGTCCAGTGAAGGTGATGTATTGAGCAATGTAGTGCGAGGAATACTTACCCACAGCTCGCCCTTCACCCGCTCCGCTATGTTGGTGAATCTCCTGTGATCACGATCAGGGACGTCGGGGGCGGCGACGTAGTGGTCCCACGTGTAGGCCGGCTCCCGCTGTCCGGCGTACACCACCAAGCCAGGGAAGTGTTGCCTGCACAAAAGGCCAAGGATGCCGTTGACCTTGCGGTTGTGATCACCCCCACTGAGCTTAATCCAACTCCTGCACAAGT